ACCAGGTAACAAGCAAAGTACAAGCAAAATTTTCAGGCATGCAAATCACGTGCAAATGAGAAATTATACACCTTGATTTAGCAGACTTGGCAGACTTCATAAAAAAACCAACCTTTATATGTCAAACCTCAGACTGATCCACGCCTCAACACAGTGAAGACGTTTTGGTGTCCAGTTCTAGATTCTAACTAGAGAATCAAAGCAGGTCCACTGTTCAACCATGATCCGCAATCATCTTATCCCCAAATCCCTGTAACTTTAATTGCATGTTAACAAAAGTATAACAAAACCCCATGGTAAAAAAATGCTTCCCCAAAATGGTAATTCTTGCTCCTAATAATTCAACATGCTGCCAGTCATGTAAACTTTCCAGCGTTGCTTTGTTTCTCTAAGAGGACCATTTTTCTACAGATGACTTGTTAGAAATTCCTCCTAAGTCCACCTCATCCAGTGAAAGGAACAGCTGGGCTTTGTCATTGCTCATATTAAGGGTTCCTACTTCTCTCCATTCATGGAGATGTGAACTAAAACAGCAGTGAGCCACTGCATGCTGGCTGGGGAATCCTGGGAATTGAAGTCCACACATCTTCAAGTTGCCAAGTTTGAAAAACACTGAGTTAAACAAAGCTTTCAAGAAGGCAACATGAGCCGATCTTGCCCACTTTTAGTTTTTAGAGACACACTACACTTGAACGTAGACTTTCCTAATTCTGCTCACCGTTGGAGAAAGAAGAAAGGCAGACACCAATTTGACAAAATCTGTTTAAAAGCCCATTCATCAGCTAGGCCACTGAAAAACATTTTTACCCTCTTCATTAGAACGGTCATTTTCCCGGACACAATACGGAAGTGGTTTGGCACTCCCTTCTGGGGGTTTTATTTTTCATTTATTTTACCTCTCAGGCCAACCTAAAAATTCTCAGCTTTCCCACCAAAGTACTACACAGGTCTGACCCTGCTTAGCTTTTTCAAGATAAGCCAAAGTTAACTACATGGTCTCAACTCTCTGGGCTATGTTGAGCAGAGTACAGCAGTGCGCCCAGAAACCCTTTGCCCAGGGAAAAAATACATACCAGCATGATAGGTTTGCAAACTGCAA